AGAAAGTGTTAAACATGGGTAATATTCTGCTTGTGGTGAACTATTGTTAGTCTGCTAGCCTTGTCAGCGTATGCTTGTACAGCTGTCCACAGTACAGTATGTTCAGTGTGGTTTCTGCCAGTGCAAGGGAATGAAGTTTGCTTTACCAATTCTGCTCAAGCTGCAGCTTTAGGATGGTGAGGCTGCTTGATGGTGCACGTTAGGTCAGGGTTAGTTCTGCATGTTTATTTGAGGTAGCTACTTGAGACTGTATTCCTTGAGAGTGGCAGCTTTCTCTTCGGATAAGATACTGGAAGATGTCACACTTAGTCACACTATCAGTTATCCCATTATCATTATCCCATAAAATAAATCAGAATGCTAAGATAGACAGTATTTTAATAACATGACACTTACTATACTATATTGATGTATGATATACAGTACAATAAGAAGTCAGCACATTTAAACAGGGTAGTTGTGTACTTCTCTGTGGGTGTGGACTGAGCAGTCGCCTCACTTATCATGTGGACTGTTAGCAGCCGTGGGCAGCTGCTGTAGGGTCTGTTGCATTCAGAGGTGACTTGCTGATCCCTCCTCCATTGGTTTCTACTTTGGTATTTCACTGATGTAGGTCAGCACTGTCTCATTTTGTAGGTGTACCTTTGGACGGTGGCCATCCACACACATCGTCCTTAAGTCTTCAAGCATCATGTCACCCACTGTGGGCCTGGACTTTATTTTACCATCATTTTCAATCAGACTAATTGTTACAACTTGAATTTGCCTAAGACCAAAGATACTCACACTGTATGTCCTGCTCACAGTGGTGTGAGACTTAAATGCACTTAGAGCTTTGTAGAGTGTCTCACATTAATAGTTGACCTGTAGGGAGATGTGAGCAGAAGGAGGATCATTCCTTTTTTACACTTTGATCTAACTAGTTTGTCCTGGCTAGCTTTAACTAACTCACAGTGTCAGGTAGCTCAAAGTTTGTCAAGACAAACAGCAACAATACCTTAGAAGAGAACCTGTTCTAGATGCATCAAGGGTTGATTATTCTGTTGGCTGTTCTTTAAAGAGAATGTGAAATTGTTGTCACACTGTGATTAATTTTGGGTAAATGCACCATTCTGGGAGCATCACGCTCATTATCGATCATAGATATATATACACAACATACATCTGTAAGTTAATTTGAAAAAATAAATACTATGCCATACAGCTACATACAGTAGCGGATGCTTGATCTACGCCCAGATATCGATGTTAGTGTTTGAGCAGAAATGGATTCATCTGCAGTGTTTGTGTTACCTGCTGATAGATCAAGGTGCAGTCATGTCGTTCTCTTCGATGGGATCTCTAGGTCTGCTATGAGTTATCTACAGTCAGCTAAGGTTATCCATTCTGAATTACCACAGTTGGTAAAGTGTCCCCCCCCCAAGAATATATGCAGGTAAATACAGCGCCTCCTCCCACAATGGTGCCCCCGTCCTAACACGGTTGACATACCTTCACATTCCCTCTAAGTAGTAGACAGCTGTGTGCACAGGTGGGCAGCTCTATAGCTCTGTCATTAAGTAGTTCATAAGATTTTTAATAGTATTCTTGGTTTCCATATATAAAAATTATTAAATGAAATCACAATTTGGTTTGTGTTACTTCTTTAAATATGTTTTTATGAAATATTTTTCAATCTTTTACATTTTTCATTTCAAATTTTTGTCATATTTTGTCAGTAGGATGCATTTTGGCCTTTTACCAGAAACCTGACTTGTTGCACATGTATGGGATAAGTATAGTGTATTGTTTGTTGTTGTACACTCTGCATTATTCCTTTACAATAAATCTGAAGTTCGGTAGTGCCAAATGGGCCAATACCTACCCCAATCTGTTGTGTCATTCAGATGTACTGTAGCTTGTCTTATCTAATCCTGGGTCAGTCTCTGGTGACAGGCCAAGTCATAACTACAATAAAGCCACAATAAATTAAGAAATAAGCATAAAATAACCAGAGAATAGGTATTTACAAAGCATAGACAGCACACAATGAAATAATTGAAATATGAAATGGAAAATATTTAAATTCTGCTTTGTATACATCCATATTAACCTGCTAGTAGTCTTGTTCTTTAGTCTTTGTTGGTGCATTGTTGTTTTTGTTTTGCGCATTACCCCCACCTGCTGTTAATGAGCAGAGTGAGCAACAGGGTGCGACTCGCACCACCTGCGTGCTCTGTTCAGAGGCAGAGGACCAGTCTCAAACTCCATAGTGCTGCTAGTGTTAAAACATTAGCTAACATTAAACCAATTTAGTAGAAACTGAGATGGATAAACTATTAATTAAAAGCATATATAAATAAGAAAATACCCAATAATGTCATTGGAATAGACTATTGATTATAATTTGGCATTTGTTCAAACCAGTGATGGGCATTCGAGTTGGCAACTACAGGCGCACTCCAGTCCTACAAACTTCCGACTTGACTCGTAATTTGTAGTTAACTCTAGACCTGACTTGGACTCATGAATATCTCTTGAAAATTAAGAGTCTTTCAGAGACTTGTATGGCAAAATATATATATTTGTGTAAGAGATAAGTTTTGGTTTTTACGACCCTCTGTAATCCTATAACGCATCACGGTGTGTGTCTGCCAGCTACCGGCGTGTGATTCCCGGTGTGCCAACTTGTGTAGGTGTGCTAACGTTTGGTTACAAGGATTTCCAAACCCCAGAAAAACCGTCTCCTGTAGGGAATGTGGGAAAAGGTAAAAGACGCGCGCCAACCACGTCCAACTTGAAAACTCCTCCAGAAAGGTCAGCGTTCACACTTAAGTGGCAAACAGAAACCTTCTGAGACTCCACAGGTAGACGAGCCTGTATATCAAGACAACCAGCTGGCTTGCACCGTTAATATCGATGCATGGTTTACACTTCAGTATAACAAAAGATAAAGGTAAATGTTGAAAGAATAACGTGGCAGGACATAGCTACCACAGCAGGACTGACACCTGGGCTGGACCCTGGGTTGCTTTTTCTTGTCTCTCCACTTGTATCCCAAATAACAACAACAACAAAAAACATTTTTACAAGCCCTGTCACATTGAAACCTCTTCTGTAGGGGATAGCTGGCCAAGTGTGTGGAGCTGCAGACAATACAAAATCAGTAGTGGTGCAAGGTAACTAAGAATATTTACTCAAGCACTGGACATAATCACAGTTTTGGTGTACTTGAGTATTTTCATTCTGTGCTACTTCATACTGTGACTTCACTACATTTAGAGGTAAATCTTGTACATTTATTTTATATCTTTAGTTATTAGTTACTTTTCAGAATCAGATTAATAAAATACAGTAAAACTTTAAGACTATTGATCCCTGGTGGAAAAATCACATGCTAAATCAAATCAAATCAAATTTTATTTGTATAGTGCCAAATCACAACAAAAGTCATCTCAGGACACTTTACAAAGTAAGGTCTAGACCTTACTGTTATCAATATTATTACATAGGGAAAACCCAACAAATCCCCCTTGAGCAAGCACTTGGTGACAGTGGGGAGGAAAAACTCCCTTTAACGGAAGAAACCTCCGACAGACCCCGGCTCTTGGTGGGCGGCCCAGAGGTACTTCAGATTCTAAGCATATAAGCAACTATCTCCCCCTTTACTGGCATTAAAGTGATGAAAACTATAATGCATAAGTAATTGTAATCAAATAATATGATGTACATTAACATAAGTAAATTTTTTACTTGTGTCATTTTACTAAAGTAACATTTTGAATGCAGGACGTTTTTTCAACAGAGTATCTTTACGCTGTGGTATTGCTAAATTTTTACTTAAAGTAAGGGGTGTGAGTACTTCTTCCACTGCTGGCAATCAGTACACACAGATAAAAGAATACAGTACATGAAATCCAGGTAGCAGTGCTAAGATAAGATCCAGCCCAACATTTCAACCAGCCAGTTTTCAGTAGAAATGTTTTCCTTTCTAAGTTGAAATTACACAAAGAAATTGTCTTGTGGTTTTATTACATCCAACAATTTTGATGTATAAAACAGCCAAAGCTTTTTGCATCTGTATTGTGCATCAATGTTACATCAGATGAGCCCCAACCATGAATGCTTTGCTATGGTCAGTTGCTAGTTTAGTTTTCAAATGGCCCTCCTCAACCAAACAGGTTGTATTTGCTACAGGGAGTGTGTCCTACCAGTAGAACAATGGATACTTCAATGCCTAAAGGAGCATCACAGCTTTCAACCATGAGTAGTTTACATGCTTTGTGTTCTTAGTGGTGGTTGAGGGAACAGGGAGTGTTGCATTCACTTTCCCTGTGCTGGCTGTGCAGGCTGTCCAGGGAATTCACTGACCAGGGTACATGCTGTGTCTGATTGCAGTACTGTCTAGGACAGTAACTGTATGAGTAGGGCAGAAAAACCTGCTCGAACCTCACAATGAAAAGTGCACTGTTATTGTTAGTGCTTTTCATGGCCCAGCTTAACATATTTTAGAAGGTTTCTTGAAGAAAAAAGTCTATATTCTTCTTTTTTATGTTGACTTTAGAAGTTATAGTCATAGAGGTTAATGGTAAATAGATGTGCAAAAGCTTCACAGAGCAGTACATGGTTGTTGTGTTGACGCAGGATTCGTGCAGCTGTTTGTACAGCATCTTTTTCTGTTGTTGGGTTTGCACTATCAGCCTCACCTGAAATAAACACAGCAAGAGGTTCCAAATACTGATATACTCTCTCACTGTAAAAAATTTAAATGTACATTTCTGAAAAGTGAAATATGTAAGTCTGTTTTTTTAACATTTCAACAATGCTAGTTTTGTAAGCATTTTGAGTAAACAAGGTTTGAAGCTGTGCTGCAAAGTTGTGCTGTTGACAAGCTGTTTTTAAGTACTTTTTCCAAATAATGCAAAATGATCCGTTGTATGTGGACAAGTGAAAAATATGACAAAGGTTTGGTCAGCATGACAGAAGCTCTTCTTCACCGTGTGCATCCCTCTTATTCCCAGGGGAAGTTGGTGAAGTACTTCAGCCGCCAGCTGTCCTGTAAGTGCAAAGTGGCCTTAGAGGAACGCAGCGCCGAGTTGGAGGACTTCCCTCGCCTTGGCCACTGGTTCCGCATTGTCAACTTGAGAAAAGAGGTCACACAGGTATGATTTTAACTTAAAAATCTAAAAATACACCCATCTTGTTTTCCTTTATTACAACAAAATGTATTTGTTCCAATGAAGGATCTGTTAATCAATATGTTAAAATCAAAACGTAAAAAAGAGCAAATTAGCTAAAAAAATTTATGCAGGTTCCTTTAATATTTGTTTAAACGCGTGGGTCTGCTGTGCCTACGGTAGGGATACAAACCCTATATCAGCATTAATATAAAGTGTATGAGCTCTTTCTGATTTAATATATTGACTGAACAATGTTAAGATAATCAAAGTACCACCTTTCATTGCCATTTGAGGGAACAGTAGTGAGATCTTTACCTTAAAACCATACATTAACATACTTCTAATGATCTATGTGTCTGTGTCACACGTTCGTGTGTGTGTGTTTCTTAGGAGATGAGTCCAGGTGAAGTGACCCTGGAGGGCCTGCTGGAGATGAGTGAGGAGCAGGTGTGTGAGCTGCTGCAGAAGTTTGGTGCAAGCGAAGAGGAGTGCGCCCGACTCAACGCCTCCCTCTCCTGCCTCAGAAAGGCCCACCAGCTTGGTAAGGGTCCACCCAAACATACTGAAACATGAACTTGCACACAGTGACAAACACCTGTCCATTACACACACAGGTAATGTCAAACAGAGAGCTGTGGGTGTCAAGTGACTGGCAGTGAGGCGAGTGTAATATAATGCGGATCACACGTGACAAAAACAAATTAAAAGCATTACTGTTGGGAACAGTCTCACTCAGTGGGGGCTGTTTTCTGTACAGTATGAAAAACAAGTGGCAGCAGTAATGTAATATGTAAAGTGGAGGGATAAACAAGACAATTGGTACAAAATTCAGGAACATTCTGGTTGAATTTAAAATAAATCTTTCATGCACGTTTTTGACATTTGTATGGACATTTTGCCATAACATGTGTTTTGGTTGATTGCCTATCTTTCAGGTTGCTCTTATTTTTACTGTTTAAAATATATTTTACAATAGTTCATTGTAGCTGCAGAGCAAACAGTTTGAAGGAGGAGCCACTGTTGAAAATTCTCTCTGGTGCATTCAGTGACTCTCTGACATTGGAGATTTGAGACCCAGCTGATTTATTTTTCAGGTAACGTTTTATAGTTTTTAAAGCCTTTAATGAACAGAATACATTACAGTGCTGTCAGGAAATGAGGGGAGAGAGGGGATGACATCTACGAATGGCTCCCCAGCCAGGCTCATGCTATGGATACACTTAAACAGTCAGCATTTCATACTTGTAGACCACTAGTATGCCATCCATCCATCCATTTTCCTCCGCTTATCTGGAACCGGGTTGTGGGGGCAGCAGTCTAAGCAAAGATGCCCAGACTTCCCTGTCAGACTTCTTGGAGGGGAAAAAAAAAGATCATCTGTACATTTAGGTGTTTAATGTTTTGTGATACCACCAGTTTGCAAGTATCACAAAACATTAAACACCTAAATGTACAGATGATCTTTTTTCCCCCAACAAATGTGTGTCCTCTTACTTCCTGATTACATAGGTTGTAAATGTATGGCTTTTAGCAGTCAGCTTGTAAAAACTCATATGTTGGATCAGCCTTAAATGCACTAACAAGAACCTGAATTCAAAGTGGTTCCAATTGTTTATGTTCAGTACTTTCACAAACAAATTAAGTCCCTTTAACTATTATGTATTACTCATCTCAGATTAGCTCTGTAATTAGCTGTTTTTATACCTGAAGTGCTTTGAAACCCCAGACCAGTGTTTCTGCTGGTAACATTCAAACATGGCGGCCCACCACGGCAACGTCTTTGCCACCACAGTAAAAAATCAATCCAGCCAATCAGTAATTTAATCAAGTGCCTCAGTAACTCACCTGGGAAGCCTGTAAAACAACAGGTCGAGTCACATACACAGGTACAGTTAAGGCCAATTCAGATGGAGCCTGTTTTTAGATGCTTTTTTCATGTAACAGATTGAAATCTATTCTATAATAATGGCAGATACAACAGGAGTGCAGGCTCCCGAGCACTTTGGAAATAAGGGGCCCTTTACATATTGTGTCTTTTACGTTCTCAACTTCATTATTTTAAATGGATACAACTTTTCAGAATGTAACACTGCAGGTGATGTGGGAAAAACCAACCGATCAGCATCACCCTTTCCACCACAACATCTGGTTCAAAGCTCAGCCAAGATGGAGGATCTTTTGCATGCTCAACTTCATTATTTTAAATGGATACGTGCGACAAATGTGCTCACAATAGAGAGTGATGCTGTTGTAACGCTTATGCGTCTACGCTGCAGCGGGATTTAAAAAGTCTCAACTTTTCAGAATGTGCATCACACTGCAGGTGATGTGGGAAAAACCAACCGATCAGCATCACCCTTTCCACCACAACATCTGGTTCAAAGCTCAGCCAAGATGGAGGACTGCGCTCTTGGATTGGCTGGTGAAATTATCAGTTTTCTTCATGCTTGAAGGATGGGGTGCACCCAAACATGGCATCTGTAGCAACAGCAGACACCACAGGAGCACAAGCTTCGGAGCGCTTTGGGAAGAAGACGCAATAAGTGAATGGCCCCTTAGATTATAACTGCCAATGAAAAATAACTAGCCTATATTAATCCATTAAGAAGTGTTTGGTCACCTCCACAGAGGAAACATGGATTAGGGATGGAAGACTGAGCTGAGAGAGGGTCAGATGAGGGGAGGGGAGGGGAGGTTAGTTAGTGTCCCCCTCTCCCTGTGGAGCAATGCCACCGTGCCAAACCTCTTTGTACACTGGAAACATTGCACAGACTGTTCAGGAAATACAAAATCAGTCTAAACACCCGCAGTATAGAGAATGGTTTGCATGGATTTTTAAACATTCACAGTTTCTGCTAATAAGCCAAAATATAGAAAATCAAAGTGATTATCGAGAAAATATAACAATGTCCTCAATGAAAAACATCCTCTCAGTGATGCAATTGTCCTGCTTCTGATTCTGTACACCTGCTTCTGATGTGTATTAATATTCAGCACAGTGGTGCAGTGGTTAGCACTCGCAGCAGGAAGGTTGAGGGTTCAAACCCTTCGGTGTGGCCTTTGCATGTTCTCCCTGTGCCTGTATATTGTATAATATATGTAAAATGGCATAATGGGTGAACAGTTGTGATTAACCTGCACCCAGTGTTACATTATTTGTGTTCAGCTAAATCAGCGCCATATGGGGCAACTGTGGAGGGTCGGAGGTTTGAATCTCTGTGCCTGCAGTCAACATGTCGAAGTGTCCTTGGGCAAGACACTGAACCCCCAAGTTGCCCCTGATGGTTAGAGCCATAGGTGTGAGTTGGCGCCGCAGATGGCTGCCTCTTTCTGTTTGGTCAGATCGGGGCCTTTCTATGTGGAGTTTGGAGTCATGGGTCACCATGATCATATAAAAAGAAATCACTAATGATTTATCTGACAGCTGTGCGTTGCATTGATAAGGCAGCAAATGGCACATTACATTCTTTTTGTTTATATGGCAGTCAGCCAGTCCCGCTGTAGAGAGCTTAAAAACGACACCTACTTTATTAATTTCTAATAACATTACATTATAAATGATTAATACACATCTTTGATATGGAGCACTGATGCATCTTTTTATAATGCTACAGTAATTAACACAGGCATAAGGCCCAGTTACTGTACAAAGCTAGTTATCTGGACTAAACAGAATCAATTCGTAATTGAATCACACGCCATTGTTGACCTTATTTTTCAAACTGTAAAACAGTGTTACACCCTTTAAAAAAAAAAGTTAATGTGCTATAAATAAATAAATCTGTAGGATCAAGGGTCAAAGATTTTTATTGTCAAGTCACGATATGTGCAGGACATACAGAAAATTGAAATAACGTTTTTCTCTCACCTAGTATTGAATGCCATACCATTTAGGAAGCTAAAATAGAATAAAAGTAGAGTAAAAATAGACTAGAAAAGAATAAGGATAAAGCTAAACAGTACAAGCTAATAGGCTATGACTCAAAACCATGTACAGTCAGTGACAGTAGTGTAACAAATAGTAACAAGAAGATTGTCAGATGGTTGTGAGATTGAGATGCACATGGACAGTAGTGCAAATGACCAACAGCAGCAGATATGATGGTAAAAACAGTCAGCAGCAGATTTATATGTAATATAACAAGAAGAGGGGATGTACTGGGTTTGTACAAAACAGCAGATGTAGTCTTTTTATGTTCTGTGGTGGGTCACAGTCCAGGGGGCAGAGGGCAGAGGGGGGGAGGTAATGGACAATGTTCAGCACCCTCACAGCCTGGTGGATAAAGCTGTTTGTAAGTCTGGTGCAAAACAAATAAGTAGATAAATAAAATCAAGAATTTTTAAAATTATATCTAAGTCTTAAGCCACTAAGAATTTTTCAAAATTTTTCCAGTGTAAATCAGCTACAGTGGTACATTTTCCATGTTTTGTTTATTTATTTATTTTGAAAAGCTGTAATGATGAACTGTTTTAGCATGTAGCTGTGTAGGACAGTTTTTCACATTATGGAGGAGGTTAATGTGTGCCATTAGAAAGCTAACGCTGTTGTAAAGGCTAAAGTGTGCGAAATTAATTGACCAAACAATCTCAGTCATCAAAAAGAAGAATTAGCATTTTTTGAGGGAGGCATTTTCCATGTTGGTTTAAAGTTTGAGATAAATTCACAACAATCTCAATTTTTTTAAACCTTTCTAAATCCTGGAACAAGTAATTGGGTGACAGAACTGTTTATCCTTATAGTGCTTTAGTGTGTCAGGTGGTATTGGAGGCCATGCTAAATTCTTGTGTTAAAGGAGCCAACAGTTACTAATATGCTTCTTCTTTTCTAATTACAGGTGTAAAACCTTTCCTTCCCTTTCCATTCCCCCCCCCTTCCCAAGCTGTGAATGAATTGTTTAGTCATTTTTTGATGCTTTGTTAACTTTGTGGAACTTTATATTGCTGCAGTGCCACAAGTGCATTTCAGTTGTTCCATATTTTCACACCAGGGTGCAGCACAAACCACACTTTGTTTTCAGTCTCTTTCGGCTTTTGCAATGATGCAGTGAACCAGAAGGGGGCAGTAGAGTATCACAAAAATTGTGTCGTTCGGTTTGGTAACAACCTTTTGCAAACCCACTTGTTAACATATCTGTTTCTCCTGTCCTCCTACTCACCCGTACCTCCAACACAAACACATGCACATCTTTGTGAGGACACTTACTGGCATACAGCTTTCCCTAGCCCCTTACTCTAAAATTAAACATCACATCTAAATGCCTAACCCCAGCCCTTACCCTAATCGTACTCCAAAACCAAACGATAACCCTCAACAGTCCTTTGAAAGGGAGGACCAGCCAAAATGTCCCCATGTTCCCAAAATGTCCTCACTCCCATGGTATAAAACTCTAACTGGTCCTCACACTGTGGAGCCTTACAAGTACACACAGACAACAACCAACACACACAGACACACTCGTGTTCTGTAGCAGATGTCCCTCCAGACAGTAGGCTCTGCTGAATAATTAAGCAAGTTAACTTGATGAGTAGGTTTTCTTCAAT